TTCTCAGTGAAACAATATCTCCTTTGTTAGTTAGTGTAAATTCTCAGTGAAACAATATCTCCTTTGTTAGTTAGTGTAAATAATGTAAAAGATATGTGAAGCAAAGTGTAAAATTAACTTATTAATCATAAAAGTAAAATATGTACTATAAAACGTGTGGCTCTGTGTTCAAGGAAAGATTTATGGTAATCATTATTGTATCTTAAAGACCAGATTAAAGAAGAAAAAAAGTTGAACAGTTGATTGAATACGAGTGAATACGTTTATATATATACATATACTCACATATATAATCATATTTTGCCCTAGAGATACTCTTACTCCAATTATTAAAATTCAGGAACGGTCTTGGCAAACAACCGTGGCATTTATTTTTGTGTACAGATACCAAGTGAAAAAGATAACTAATAATTTGGTTAAATATCTATCATAGAGGAAGTGAAATAGGTATACTGCATTCAGTTAAAACATTTATTACGTTAGATACATTAGATTTCATGCTTGTATCGTAAGCTGCTTTAAGCCTGTGAATGATATTGAGTTAACTATTTGACTTCGTAGACAAATACCTTTCATGTACAAACAGTGCCCCCCCCCCCAGTGGCACAGCGGCATGTCTGCGGACTTACAACGCTAGAAATCTGGTTTCGATACCCGTGGTGGGCAGAGCACAGATAGCCCATTGTATAGCTTTGTGCTTAACTTTAACCACAGAAACAGTGAGGCCAGGCGTGGCCAAATAACGTGTCGGTTATGAATCAGAAGGTCTAATGATGGAGTCCACGATATGCCGCTGAACATACTCTGCACTTATTGCTATGTGCATGTTATAAAAGTGACAGTCACACCCTTCTATTCGTTTAAGAATAGCCGTGCAGACGGCAGGTGTTGTTAACTGGCTTCTCCTCTCTGGTCAGCAGTTTTTAAATTAAAAACCTTTGTCTTGAAATCTTAGATCTAGCTATGTAGCCTATTTGTTCTATAATGTTTAATTAATATCAAATACCATCCTCAAGTTAGTATGGTTGTTTTTGCTATGTATAGCGACAGGTGATAAGGCAGTCTATGCATGCATGTTTTTGTATTATATGTGTAGCAAACAGAAATAAAAACCATGTCTAAACTTTTAAATACTTCATTCTTAAACATTTTATACATATACAAGAAGCATTATGAAATTTTACCTTATCACAAAAAAGCACCAACAACGCGGTAAAATCTGAAAATACAATTAGATTATTGTAATCATTGTGAAACAAACTAAATTATATAGTAAAAGTTTCGGTTAAACGACCTTTATATAGACTCATGAAGATCGTTTGTACGAGATGTTTACAATATAATTCTTGTTTATATTCCTTTTACAGCTATTTGATCCACTTGTTTGTATGTTGAAAGTTTAACAACATAATAAGCAAGTGACACTTATACAATGCCTGAAATATATGTGCACTACAAAACATAACTTAAGTTGTATTATCTCAACTTTAAACAGTATTAATATAAAAATGTCATGTAAACATGTCTTAATTAAAACTATTGGCTATATTATTATATCAAAATATACGATAAAGTAAGCAATATTAGTTTCATAAAATTGTGGCCCGGCATGGCCAGGTGGTTAGGGAGCTCGACTCGCAATCTGCGGGTCGCGGGATCGAATCGACGTCACACCAAACATGCTCGCCCTTTCAGCCGTAATAGTCAATCCCACTATTCGTTAGTAAAAGAGTAGCTCAAGAGTTGGCGGTTGGTGGTGATGACTAGCTGCCTTCCCTCTAGTCTTATTACACTACTAAATTAGGGACGGCTAGTGCAGATAGCCCTCGTGTAGCTTTGCGCGAAATTCAAAACAAACAAACATAAAATTGTGAAGTTTAACTAATTTACGTCTGGCGTCAGATTAAACACGAATTGAGTCCTAGCGGCACTTCATCCTGATCTGCGTTTACTATGATGAAGTTACCTGCTTTATGTAAAGCATTAAACCAGATCAAATTTAGTGTGATTTTGCTCTTTCATTCCAGTCAATAGCGTTTTTATTCCTACGTAATTCTTTGTACAGCATATAAAAATATAAAACCAACTTCCATATTTTACCTGTTATTTATTTATACGCTAAAAGTGTTGTTAACTTTTTCTTTCCGTACGAAGATCATTAATTCATATATACGTTAAAGCTGATATTATAGGTTTTTCAGAGCACGAATTGAAAAAGCTGAAGAGTGTTAGTAGGGCCAGATTAAAAACTTGGGAGGCCCGGGGAAATTTTTGTAGAGGAAAGGGACATAAAACTGAACTTGAAAAATAAGTTGAATACAGTTCAATAGTATTCACATAAGCGATTGGTAGATAATATACATAACACCAATTCTAATATTTATAATAAATATAGAGTAATGGTAACGAATTTTTATAATACATATAATGACAACGATATTTTTGTGGTTAAATGATCGAACGTATACCCATGAAAGAACAAGATGTAAGAACATGTTAATGAAAAATCTCCAAGTAATTGGTTTATATGAAACGAGTAAAGTCACTGTTGTTATAGTGACAAGGTTGAAAACACACGTTTTTCAATGGCACATCCAATTTTATTATTGTTATTTTTTTATTTTACTCCCATTGAGTGATCCTTCGATTCGGGGGAGCCCAGGACAATAACACCCATTGCCCCCCCCCCATTCTGACCATGGGTGTCAGAAATGTTACAAACGTAACATGCAAAAAAAATATTGTTTGACCTTGTTAATTATATTAAGACCAATATTATAGGTTTTTAAAAACATGAACTGCAAGAGCTGAGGGGTGTTAGGTGTTTTACGAATAAAACATAAAAAAAGTCATTCAGTGTTGTTCTTGTTCATTATCTAGTGCAGGAAAAATAACTTTTCTCATTCTTATAAGATTTAATAATCGGAGATCTTTAGAAATTGATTTTTTTTTTAAATTAAGTGTTACAGACCTATCAAATGGAATGGACGCTCTAGAAAATGTTTTATGTTAAGTACTCGGATTCACTCGGAGAGCTTAGTAGGAAGAATGTGAGAGGGAGAAAAAAAAAGCACACCTGAAGTCCAGTATCCCAGGCCTATATTCATGTTTTATTTAACCCTAAATGGCAAATATTTCCTGAGTATGCAATTTTGAATAAATAAGATATCCCATTGTTTATCTGTTATTAAAGCGGTTCGAATAATAACTCGAAAAATAAATTAACCAAATCAGGAGTACGTTTAGATCCCACGCTGATTGTGAATATCTCCATTAAATCTCAATCTTAATTCTTCGTAGTAACTTTATTTACTCCATAGTAACACTAATTAAGATACCCTATAGTAACTGGGCTGTTTGAGTGGTTAGAAAGTACTTAACTAACAGAAGTTGCTGTAATTATGATATCATCATCATCTATTATCTCCATTTAATACTAGAAAAAGGAAACTTGGCAAGTTGAGACTATTTGTTTCTTGTAATAGAAATTTTGTGTTCAACGACGATTCTATATCGAAACTTCCTATATATGATTATTAATTAAGTATAATTTCTGTTTGTTTCGCGTACAGTTACCTAAGAACTATCTGCGCTAGCCAACCTTAATTCTGAACTAATAAACTAAATGGCACCCTCCGTCATCTCTGGGGCTACTGCATATCGAATAGTGCGATTTGATCGTCTCTCTCTCTCTTATAACGCGTGCACTAGCACAAAGTGCGGAACACGTTTTTCAGCAACTGGACAAGAACCTGGAACCCTGAAATTCACAGTTTGGCACCCCACCAGCCAACTACAAACAATACACTAATTTCTGTACTGAATGAAGATTTTGCAAATATAGAAAAGAGGTTTGTGGATAAACTAATTGCTAATATCTTCTTCAAAGAAAAGTACTGTAAAATGTTATTGGGTATGATTGTAGATAACTAATACTATTGATCTTTCAAGAACTTATGGAAAATTTATGTTATTGTTCAATGCTTTAGTATCT